CCCTGCCTGCAAAGAACGACATGTGAACCAGGTTACATGTGGAATTTGGGTGCGTTCACATGACTCACGACACTGGCCTCTGCTTTTTCGGACAACCCCCGCGCTGAGAATTAAAATAATTGAATTAGGGATCCCAGCCAGTCTTGCGCCAGACCTTGGAGCCTGGGAACCTGGTAGCCGCGACACGCCCTGCAAACAGCTTGTCACGACGCACTTCACCACTTCGGCAAGATGCAACGCACGGCACTGTGCGGAATCGGTTACAACGAGGAAACTCACTGCATCTCACATTGCATGCAATCTTGCCCCCATGCTCGGATATGCTGCTAACTGAACACACGAAGGCTATGAAAGTCACACCCTACTAACTAACCCTGAAACCCTTTAACCGACTCTAAACACACGTTAAACCATACGAGCCATCATCAAATAAAAATGGAGGCTCAGTCGAGTCATTTCTGATTCAGACAGAGCTCCGGCCACCGCCGCTTTCCGGGGTCTGGAGCACAGCCGACCAACACAAACAGCCCCCATTTACCGGCTCGAAGCACCTTTGTGCAGCACGTGTGACTTGCAGCGGGGCAATTGGCTAAGTCGCTGCGTGTTTTCCACAGCTCGGGCCACTGCTTGCACCACGCTCTCAGTCCGGCCTCCCCCTTGGGCATGAAGGGATTCCCGGTCTCCACCTCAAACACCACGCAAGCATAGGCCCACATATCCACAGCTGCAGTCAGCAGCTGCTTTCTGACACCGCAGTCTCCATCGCCATTCACACGAGCGGGCCACAGCTCCGGAGGTCGATAGGCAGCCGTGACATACTGCAGGAACCTGGGAGCCTGAGAAGCCTTCTGGAGCCGTGCCATGTTCTCACTCATGCCGAAGTCGCACACCTGCACCTGATCTGTGCAAGGGCACCAAAGAACATTGCCAGGTTTCACATCCAAGTGTAGGATGCCTGCGTCATGCAAGGTCTGCAGTGCACTTCTCAGCTGAGCTGCCACAGACCACGTCCTCGGCTTGCCATGCGCCGCAGGATTTCGAAGTGCGGTTGCCAGGCTGGGCCCACATAGGCTAGTAGCCATCCATGGCCAAGGTCTGCCCGTGACACCCGAGCTGACAAGAAGCGGGAACCACATCATCTTCTGCTGCGGAACGGCCTTCATTAGAAGCTTCATCTGCTCCACTTCGTGCCTGCAATCCGCGGGGCCATCGGAGCCACGATAAACCTTCACCGCCACGTTAAGGCCGCTTTGCGGATGCTGGCAACTGTAGACACTGCCATAGGCTCCGCCTCCAATTGGAGCCCTTGCACCATTAAGCTCAAATGGGCCAACGCGACCGCCAGATTCGTCAGCGGCAGGGGGGTCCTTCGCCTCGTCGGGGCCGCCCGCACTGGTCGTGGAGCCCCGCATCCTGATGCCAAGAACGGCCAGTGCACTTCGCTGAGCCATGAACTCATCTTTGCTCCTCGCCATGAATGGTGCCTTCTGCTTGTCGGTCATGCCCTGCCAGACTGCGCCAAGATGCTTCATCTCATTGAGAAACTCGTGCTTGGGAGCGCCTTTCTTGACTTCGGAGTTTTCCTGGAACCAGATGACGAAGGCCCTTCGAGCCTTGGGGACCAAGCCGTCTTTCACAGCCTGCTTCCGCAAGCTCTGCGATTTGCTGCCACCATGCTGGCACCCCCGGGGCATCCGACGAGAAGCCGTCTTGAGACTGGTTTTGCCCCAGAGGCGTCTGGTAGGCCTCCATCGGCAGCCCATGTCGAACCCAAGCAGGGAACCTCAGAGCCTGGGAACCTGGGGCCATAACGGCTCGCTTTAATGCATTCAGGCGACTACAACAACATCCTCGGCGAGTCCTATTTCAATGTCATGCCACAATAAGAGCATTTCGGCTTTTTCAGGCGACAGTAGTCACTGCTACACACTACTGACAAAACTGAGCCCGGCAAAAGGTCAAGAGCCTGAGAACCTGGGAGCCTAGGTGCCTGAGCTGGTGCCTGAGCTGGCGGATTCGGTCGAAGTGAAACATCATCACTGCGGTTGATCGCGGGGGCTATCTGGCTCAGCAGGTGCCTCGTCCTGGTCGTCTTGGTTGGACAAGCTCTCCAGAACGTGCGGGAAATGCTTCTTCACCGCCTTGGCATTCTCGTCCGAGTAAAGAGTGGATCCCTCCAAAGCCATCATTCCGCAAGCTGCGCGATCAGCAACCGCCTGGACCCACGACATGTGCTCCTTGTTGAGGCCTCGGATAATTTAAATAAAATCAAATGACAATGATCTGACGAATCTACTGGACAAGTAAGGGTGCTGCAAAGCCCGTGGTATGCGATGCCGGCAGTCAAAGAAGCCTCCATCAGAGCACCGGTGCCAGCCGTGAGGTCAAACACTGCCTCCGCGCAAAACTCCTCAATGATGGCATTCCAATATGCTATCGGCTTCGACTCGTTCCAGAACAAGGGTACGTCGGAGCCGTGGCGATCCTGCCAGTCCTCTGGCGGTGTCGGGAGGTCGCCGGTTGTTGCCGGAGCAATGATCTTCTTCTTGGTGTCTGCAGACACGAGGGGCATTTCAGAAACCGCACGGTACTCCACGCCTGAGTAAGTGCCTTGGTACGTAGAAGCCTCGCCGCAGACTGTGAAGGAGCCTTTCTTCGTCGTCTGAATCTTGGTGCGTGCGACCGGGAACTTAACCGCTCCTGTCTCCACCTTCTTTGCAGCCAGCGGAACGCGGCGAGTGCGACCAGTTCTCGGCGGGCACCCACCTGAGTACACGATGGTGCACTCCTCGGTGTGCTGCTGGTTCAGCAGGAGGTCTTCCTTAAAGAACCAGGTGCAGCCTTTGAGCCTTGGAGCCTGGGAGCCTTGTCACATCACCCCGCCAAGACTCGGACACGCGGCGAATTTCCCGCATTCTGCCGTCGAAGAGTACGACGAAATCCTCGGGCCCAGAAATGTCTTTGGCAAAGGCACAGATCTCTTTCCATTCCTCGCTTGGCGGAGTGCCCTTGAGCCACGGGTCGGTACCAGCCTCTGCCAAGAGATCCGCACTGGCAACGATCAGGCGGTGCGAAGAGTTTAAGGTGCCCTTGTGCGTGAAGACCTTGCCGCAACCTCTGAACGCATTGACTAGGCAGTCCTTCGAGATCTTGTTCGGTACCGAGAACGACACGAACTTGCGGCGTTCCGTTTGCACCGCCTTCCACTGCCGCTCACGCTCGACACATTCCTCGGGTGTGTCAGCTTCAGAAGCCTTGGCCAGGCTTTGGAGCAAACTCGGAGCAGGAGCCGCAGATGTGGCACCAACGGACTTCGTGCTGTTGTCGAACTTGTCGACAATGATCTTCATCTGAGTGATAAGCGCACATGGCTCCTCGTGCTCCGTGTCATCCGAGCTTCCAAGCTGTGCAGCTGTCAATGCCTTTGCAAGGCCATCTTCACTCGAAGCCAGCATGCAGCAATCCTTGTAGTACTTCCCCGACATCAGCTCCAGCAGCAAATCCAAAAGCATGCCAATGGCTTTGTTGAAACCCTCTTTAACAGCTCCAATCTTGGACTGCGGAACAGGGCGCTCCACGTCCTCTGGGTCCTCGCCGTCCATGTCGTCCTCTCCAGCAGCCCCTTGATCAGCATCAGCATGGCAGAGATATTTCTCCCAACATGTGGAAGGGCAACGGAGTTCAGCCAAAATCCCTGTCAGCTTAACCTTGTCCGGCTCAGGCAACTTGTTCGCCAGCTTTGCTGCATAATCGAAGACCTCTGTCAGTGTTCAAGCTGCCGATGACTTGCAACACTCCGCAAAAAAAAAAATACACACGCTAGTCAGAATAGTTACAATGCCTGCACCACCAGCATGCGCGACAACCAAAAGCCAGCATCGCCTGTCTTCCGGTCTCGATCCAGAAACTTCTCGGTGCATTTAGCTGGCGTGACCATGTTCATGCGCAGGGCCAGCGTCAAGGAGTCGATCATCCAGGCCGTCAGGTCTACAGCGTTTCTGGTAGCAGATGCGAGCTTGTTGGTCAGCGATAACAGCTTGCTCAACTTCGAGTACTGACTGCTCAAGATGCCCCGCCCAAATTCCAGCTCCAATCTCCGGGCAGCCTTCTCCACGGGACCGGATGGACCCCGCAGCACTGCAACAGCTGCTGTGGCAGCCTGGTGTAAGGCCTTGTTGTACAAGGTGTTGTTGTACCTCAAGTTCTGTTCCTCACCATCCTGGACTTTTTCGACCTTGAGCAGCTGGACAGTCTTTGCAAATGTCCAAAAGGTGTCGGACAGGCCAGGGTGCCCGAGTGCCTTGACTTTCTCTGAAGCAAGATTGCGACTCTTCGCAATCTCCCCTGCGCTGGAACACAAGCGAACCTGTATCGTGACAGTGCAGCCACACTCCCACAAAATCTCCAAAACTGCTTTGTCCTGCCAAGTGCAAGCACACATCAGTCAGATGAATCAATAACATGTCATGTCATGTGAACACAAGCAGCAACTGTCCTGGGAGACTAGGGCTTTGAAGACGGCCAAGTACCAAGCCCACAACACAAACACGCCGCTAGCAAGATGCAACGAGCTGTTGAACTCTTCGTGAATCACGTCAGATGCTGACTCCGTGAGGACAATCATCTCACAAGGCCACGTCAGCCGGTTTCGTGACGTTTTTTGTTTCTTCTTGGCAGCTTCACGCGATACAACTGTGCTGAAAGCAACTTTCTTGGAGAAGAAAGCGTCTTCGAAAGTTTGGAGATCCTGCCAGCACACATCCTCAGACGCACTGGCAAAAGCTTCGGTGGCCAGCCACAGCGCGAGGCCACTGGCTTCGTAAAGTCCAGATGATGTCAGGGACGCTTGGCAGTCATCTTTGCTCCACACAGCCTGACAAACGACAACGGTCAAACAATAAAAATGACATTGATCGACATGCGCCCGCCTTGTATCCGGTCAAATCCCCCATCTTGGCTTCTGCGTTGATGGCAAGCGGCGGTGTCTTGAACATCTGCTTGGCCTGCGGAAACTTCAGAGGGAGCTGGCTGCGGACCTCGGGCAGGCACGGCATGCAGCACTGTTAGCCGCGAGACGGGACACGGTATCAAGAACTCAGCGAAGGGCCCATGGCACGATGTTTGCCAGGGCTTCTTGAGCACTGGCCTGCTTCACATGGCGTGCCACACATCATCATCACACACGTCATACTGCTCCGAAAATGCTGAGCTCAGAACGGTTGGGTCGGTGGGCAAATCCGGCACTTTTGCCATTGAGCGCGAGTACAGAAGCCTGGGAACCTGGGAGCCGAGTAGCCTTCCACGGAACCGTTTGGAGTCTTGCGGTGCAGCGCAAGGCAATAAGACTGCTGCAGTGCAGGACATGCTGCAAACAAACACAAACTGACGTCGACAGCGGTCCTTTGTAGTCGTGGGCCCTGCCACAGTTTGTCGACGAGCGGCTTGAGCTTTACATGTCCATTTAAATCAAGTTGGCAGCAAAGTAAGGAAGCATCAAAATCCTACTATGCTGCTGATGAGTCATCTAAACATGACGACACCAAGCCGGCGCCACATGGACCTTGGAGCCTGGGAGCCTAGGAGCCTGGGAGACGCCTCAGCTGGGCATCAACGGCAGCGAGGGCATCCTGGTCGCGGCGGAGCTGCTTGTTGGAGACGTCCACCTGTTCCTTCAAGCGCCGTTTGTGCTCCACCAGCTTGGAGCGCTGAGCCTCAAGGAGAATGTCTGAGTGCTTCCTGGGGTTGCTCATGCTCACGATGACCATCTCGATCCCGGACCTGCGTACCTTCAAGTTGCCGGTGCGGATCCGCTCTGCCAGGTCATTGCCCTTGAGCATCCAGAAGTACCCCATCGGATGGAGAACCGGCGGTGACTGGTTGATGACGCCCTCGCAGCTGAACTCGAGCATGTCCATGTCGAGCTGCTTGAGGGCAAAAAAACCCAACGTGGCCGCTGCGTGCGTGGACGAAGAAACCGGGAACAGGGATGCACCGGGATCCGGAAGGAACGGATCCCCCTGCGCAGCGAACACGTGGTTCCGGGCCAAGAAGTTCACGAGGGCAGATGTGTCCTCCTTGCTAATGTCGAAGCCGCCGCCGCCGCCGCCTTCCTCCGACTTGACCGCCGTGTAGCACATGAAGCCCAAACCCCCGCCAAGGTCGGGCCCGGGTGCAAGGGTCTGCCAGGCGCGGCTGGTCGTGGCCTGCACCATGACGTGCCTTGATCGGACGCAATACCCTGGACCCCTAAACCCCTAAACCCCTGAACCCTTGAACCCCTGAACCTCTGAACCCCTGAGCCTATAATTAATATAAAATTAAATAACAATAAATGAAAAGACTTCCTGGCGTCCGATGTACTCGAATTCAAGGCTCCAGTTCGCCTCGTCGTGGAAAGGCAGCTCCTGGCAAGGATCCGAGAACAGCGGAACATAGTAGCCGCCATCCTCCACCACAATGTCTCTTGCAGAGCACGCTTCGGCCAGATTTTTCTTGGTGAACAGTGTGAGAACCACGAACTGGGTCTCCCCAATGGCTTCTGTCAGCTGGCGGCGCGATGAGCGCAGCTTCGCCTTCACAGGCTTGTCTGCAGCAGACGGGGCCGCCCCCAACTTGCGCATGGCTTCCTTGCGCTGCCATGTGATGGCGTCCAGTTTCGTCGCCAGAAACAAGGCACGGAAGCCGATCTCCGGTGACTCGTAATAGGAATCCTTCTCAAACTCGGAAGCCGCCTCCACACTCTTCTCGTAGTCACTTGCCCTCAGCGCACAGTAGCCGAGACGCGACCAAGATCTCTGAGACTGAGTCTCTATCACTGGGTTCTCCTCCGGCTCGGCGATGATGGTGGGTGCCATATCTGCGGCGGCTGCTTTAGGATCGGCTGCGGCCATTTTCGCAGGCGGCATTGGGACCTAGTAGCCTATGTGAGCCAGGGAGCCTTGGAGCCTGTTGCCGCAGAAGCCTCGTATCAGATGCTGATAGTGACATGGCAAGACTGACACAACACACTGTCGCATGCAACTGTCATGTTCTGACAACTCAGCCACACAGCCAACCATGACTGAAATGAAACGACTTTGGGCCTGCCCCTCGACGTCCAGCTTGTCGACGACAACAGCCTCAGACAATGCAGTGACAAGTGACATGTGCATTGAAGGGTCATTTGCGTGCGTTGAAGGGTCATTCGTGTGCATTGAAGGGTGACAGGTGCTTCTTTCATCATTAAGGCACTGCTAACGTGACCCTTGGATGCACTCAAAACACCCTTGGATGCATGGAACAAGAGCTGCCGGGACCCTTGGATGCATCCAAAACACCCTTGGATGTAGCGCCGCGGCGATTGGCGCGAATCCTGCCTGTATTGAAATGAAAGAGGAAGGCTATTGCAAGGGACAAATGGAACGTCAATACACCAGGGATTGGCACCAATCCATGGTGTATTGCATCCTACCATTGTCCTGCAATTAAACAACTGCAGGGGAAGTGAATTGCAAGGCCGTTTTGTCCTGCCAATACGCCCCGGATTGGCACCAATCTGCAGTGTATTGAGCAGGGGCTTGCAACAGGCTCTGTTGCAGGCACCTGCTGCCCCAGACAAGGTTAACCCTGCCTTGCGACACAGGCCCCCTGTACATTCCTGTGCGAACGACTAGACTTAAAATGATTCGACCCCAGGAAAATTCCTGCCTGCGAACCTGGGAGCCAAGGAGCCAAGGAGCCAAAGAGCACTGTCATTAACTGCTGCAGTACAGGACTATGACGCACGAACTTTCTTGGGTTTCTTGGGGGGCAAATGCCTCATCTGTACACCAGCACCGGACAATGTCCGCTTCTGGGACAACCCGCGGACGGTGCGGAGGAAATTCCAGATATCGGCCTCTCCATTGATCTTGTAGGTGGTGCGCCTCTTGGTAGCAAATTGAGTGGGCAGTGGTGTGCCGATAGCAACACGCCACTTCGACTGGGGCAACTTCTCACAGAATCGCAGGGCCTCGACGATGGCACGGGTCCTGACTGATTGAACTTAAATGAACCCAAACCCAACCCTAGACAATAAACCCTTCAACCCGAAACCCTTGAACCTCAGTGTCTGTGCCACCGAGCAACAGTTGACAGCTCTTGGCGATCTCAAGGCCGACCAGCCTCGAAGTTGCAGCTGTGTTGAAGGACAAGAACGACTTCTCAGCATCAATTGTCGGATTGTCCAAGTATGCCAGAATCGCCTCCCTGGAGGCAAGCACTTTGCCACAGCCGTACGCAATGATCAAGGCAGGAACCTGGGATGAAACACGTCAACGTGTACCAGCAGTGACGATCTAAGCCTGGCATCATCCGACTTTTAAACATTTTAATTAAAAGCTTGGGACCAGTCGGTCGCTGCGGACCGTCTCCACATCGGACAGTTGTTCGAGGACCAGGATATCGGCGGATTCATACTCGTACGGTCCAAGAATCTGGAAATGCTTGTTGCCTTGCAGCGACTTGCTGTCCGTGTAGCGACGATAGACCGGACATAGCTTCAGAGCTCGTTTGCGGAGGATGCTTTGCAAGACGGATGACCGATCCTTCTCGTGGCCGTGCTGCACCATGCGCAAACCGCCAAGCCGTGCCGCCGTTGTTGTGTAAGCAATCTTGCCAGAGGATCGTCTCCGCGCTTCCTCTTGGTGACCTTGGCTGGATGACAATGACAATGTGTATGACACTTCAAATGACTTAGCACGGAAAGCAACCGTTGTGCTGCTGAGTCACCGTCATATTTCTGCTGTGTGCGTGCACGGAAATTCTCCAAATGCTTGAGGGCATCTGGTGTGGGGCGGGCGAAAGCCCAACGTGTGCCAGCAACGCTGTTCTGGGCAGAGGCAGACGCTGCCGGCAAAGGCAGGCTCAAGCCCGGCACGAAAGAGGCCGGCTTCCACGACCTGCCTTTCGAAGCAGCTGCCTCTGCTCTCTTCGCTGCCTCGGCGGCGGCTGCTTCACGGCCTCTGACAATTGCAGCCAGAGTTCCAGAACGTGCCTGGCGTGGCTTGCTGGGCCCCTGCTTTCGTTCTTTGTTGTAGGTCATGCGGAACCGACGCCCAAAGTGACGAATCCACAGTTCACCACAAAGAACCCCGAAGTCAGTTGGGGTCAGCACGGCACCTTCGCTCTCCGGCTTCCGGAAAAATTCTTCCTCTCGCTGGGGACCTTCAACTGCCACCTCGAGGATGGAGGCAATGGTTGAGCCATTTGGAGTGAGGGGTCCGGAATGCGCCTCCAGCTGTGTGAGCAAGTGTCCCAAATCCCTTTCCAGCGTGGTCGTGTTGATCTTCAAGGACAAGAAGAAAGCAATGAGGGCATGACAATCCTCTGTCCATGGAAGTTTGTGTGCATGCCGTGCACGCCACGCTGGCCGAAGCAACCAAGACCACGCATGTTTGTTCCCGAAGCCTGGGTCCTTTGACTTAGCTGCTTCTAGAAGAGGATGCAATTTGCGAGCAAATCGTCCAAACAGCACGGCTGTACCGTGCGAAAGCTTGAGCATATCACAGAGCTTGCGTGTAGAGTCCACTAGCTCCTGTTGTCGGTTCGTCTCCTGCCACAGCCGAAGGTTGAATACCTGCAGAGCCACGGCGATCTCATCCTCCGTCAGATCTACTCGCAAACGCTCCAGCATCGCCTCGACCACGTGCGCCATAGTTCCCATGATCTGCCTTACATCAGAAATGCCGGCCTTCGTGCACAGGTAGTGGACTCTGTTGCCATAGAAGATCCTAGGTTTGCCACGGCGGGCATACCAGCGAAGCCTACTGGAACACAACCGCTATGACGACGACAAACTTGCAGGGTAGTTGCGGCTCTGGTGTCTGGATCTCCTCGTAAACTAACTGGGTTGCACACCTCCTGGGAGCCTGGGAGCCTGGAGCCTCGGAGCCGTCCACGGAACTGGGAACCTGCGAGCTGTCGGAGAGGATGTATCCATCCACAAATAAGAACCGCTGGCGCTTGGTGAACTCTTCCAGCACTCTGGGGGTGCAGGATACATCTGGATCCTCAATGTCAAAGTTCCTGCGCAAGAAACCCAGGCACTCAGATGTGTAGTCGCAAGTGAGTCCACAGCGCATGAGGGCTGCTGCATTCATGTTTTGCAAGGCGCGCTCTGCTCGGGAGCGAATCTCGACCGTGTTTCTCTCCTGTGTGTCATACAACTGACATTTCAACATACATGACATACATGCGTAGAGTACATACATACTATTACATTACATACATACATGCATACATACTACATACATAATACTTACATACATTAAATTACATACATACATACATACATAGGGGTGCACATACATACATACATACATAACATACTACGAGACATACACACATACATACAGACATCAGATGCCATACATACATACATACATACATACATACATACATTACATACATAACATACATACATACATACATACATACACATACATACATACATACATACATACATACATACATACATACATACATTGTATTATGTTAATAATAATATGTCTAATAATACCTACATGCATACATACATACATACATACAATGCCAATACAATACATACATACATACATACATACATACGTATCATACATACATACATACATACATACATACATACATACATACATACATAATACATACACACATACATACTTTAAATTTCTTAACGCTACACATACATACATACATACTACATACATACATACATACATACCTACATACATACGTACATGCATACATACTTACATCCATGCTTTACTTACATAATACATACTACATACATACATGCATACATACATACTCATACATAATACTACTACATACATACATACATACATACATACATACGTACATGCCATACATACATACATACATACAATTCAATTTAGATACTACACATTGAAAGTGAATTACCATGCATTACATACATACATACATACATACATACATACATACATACATACTACATATCATATACATAATACTAAGACTACATACTTAGTTATTATTGAATAAAAGTTAATATATTATTAAATAGTTATTAATCATTGTCATTAATATTTATTAATCTAATTATTATTATTATTATTATTATTAAATTTATTAAAATAATAATTACGTACATACATACATCCGCACATACATGCATTAATACAATCCATACTAAGACTAAGATTTAATACACAATAATTAAATTAAAATAAATAATAATTATTAAATTTAATAATTTTAAAATTTGTTTGACATAAGGACAAGACTCGTCAGCAGCCTGCATAGCACATAAGACCGCCATCGCACGAATCATGCACAAGTACTTCAGCATTGGTGTGGCCGACGAGTCAAACCGAGGTTGGGAGAACGACAACGCTCGGATCACCTTCTCCACACCAGCCTGGGAGCCATGGAGCCTGAGAGACTTCTGAGTTCTGGATGTCCGGGATAAGCGCATGCTTGCCCTTGCCGGGAGCAAACAAACGCTCCCACTGGTCTTGGAACTCGGGCATGGCGTGAAGAGGGTCCTGGTAGGCAATACGAACCTGGTGCGCAGGATCATGGCTTACCCAGACCAGGGTAGGATACTGGCCGCCAGTGACCAACAACCTTCCACACTTCCGGGCAGATGTGCACTGATCGGCTGCAAAGTGCCGCACGTGCAGCTTCAAGCGGCTGCAGGACTCCTCGTCAGTTAAGAGTCCGCATCGTGCTCCTCCAATGTGTTTTCAGGAACACTGGCACCTGTCTTGTAGACCCCAAGCAAGCCATCGGCGACAAGCGGGCCATCCTCCGAGCCTTGGGAGCCTTGGGAGCCTTGGGGACCTTGGGAGCCTGGCGCCGCTGACTGCTTGGCAGTGCGCGGTGGAACATCGCAACGGTACCTCACCAAACGATACTCCTTGCGGTCGTCCACGGACAAGCTGATGCTGGTGGCTTGTTCGAGACGCTGCTTGCGAACACTCTTGACAGCCCAGTGCATAGCAAGAATCATGTTCTTGAGACCTCAGATGATTAATTAAATTATTTGTCAAATTTTAAATTTAAATGTGCCAAAATAAAATGTCAACAATCTGAAACCTTAGGCCTTTTAAAGTGCTGCATCCTGGCTCACACTGTCAAGCGTCGTGTTCCTGCCAGCAGCGAAGTCTTCCGTGGAATAGAATTTCACGGCACCTTTGAAAGAAGATGCTGTCCGGCACGCCCGCCACGCTCGCAGCCAATCTGCCGGCTGAGGAACGTTGCCGGAGAAGAGGTGCTGATGCTTGATGCTGTAAGGCAAGCACTGTGAGATCGGCGTGTCAGGAGCTAGGTAAACCTTCGTGGCCACCTGGTGAACGAAGGTCTTGCTGTGAGCGTGTATGCAGCATGCCTGCATCGCACTCCTGCCAAAGTCTGCGACTGATGCCTTAAATCACAGCTGACAACGACAACATGATGCGGTCCTTGATCGGACCTCATAGGCACCCCACTTGGTAGAGAGG